ATACCTGAAAAATCCAGCCCCTGATTGGCCGATTCTACCAGAGCGCCACCCGCAGTGCTTCGTTAAGTGCCGACTAAAGCGACCCATTGCTACCATTAACATGGAAGCTTCAATTCTAGAAACCCCAAAGAAAATTCGTTACTACCATACGATTTTGTGTCTCAGTTCATGCATGTTCTTCCCTTGCATTCGGATATTCGATGCGGCTGTCTCACATAGGTATCTTCCCCCACCTCGGTATTATGTGCGTATGAGACATGTCGCATCTACAGTACACAATCTCCCCACCGCTCTCAGCTCATGACCAAGGAAACCTCTGGCCAATCCGCGTCGGCCTGGGTACCGACCTGGCCGCCCATGTCGAGGAGGCCGTCGGTCTCGTTCTTGAGGAACTGGTTGAAGAAACTCGTCGCGAAGGCAGACTGAATCGACACAATGCGCGTGCCCGTGACGTTGCCCACCGTCTCGCGGATGTTGGCGCCCAGCATGTCGGCCATCAGCGGGAAGTCGTCGAACGAGAGGTGCAGGGTCCCGGCGACGTTGAACCAGCGCTTGAAGCTGCGCAGGCGCGCCCACGTATCCGTCCAGCCGGCAACCCAGTCCGCGCTCGACGGCTGCAGCGCCGCCATCAGCATCATCGGGGCGTCGGTGCCAGTCTGGTTCGCGAAGCCCCAGAACGGCCCGTCGAAGCTGGTCCCTGCGACAAAGCGGGTGTCGTTGACGGTCGTCTGCAGCGTCGTGCTGCCGCCGAAGGAATGCCCCATGATCCCGACGCGGCTCGTCTGCAGCGAAGTACTGCTGCTGGATAAACCTGGGATTTGCGACGTGATGGTCTTGTTGTCCATCGAGTTCAGCGCGAAGATCATGTCCGCGACGCGCACGTTCAGATCCTGTTCCACGGCGCCCGGGATGCTGTCGTTGAGCGTGTTGTACTCGAATCGCCCGTCGGGATACTCGATTACCGCGGCGTCGTAGGGGTGGTCTACGGCTAATACGTTGAAGCCGTGGCTGGCGAATTCTTGTAGGAAGCCTGCGTATAAGAGGCGCGAGCCCTTGAAGCCGTGGCTGAATAGCACGAGGGGTAGCTCTGGGTGGGCCAAGGGAGCGTTCGCGCAGGATGGTAAGGCGAATTGTTTGAAAGTCCCGGGGGGCGTTGACATGAGGGTGTCTAGGTATCCTGCGAGCAGTGGGGTGAGAAGTGTCTCGATGTTGCAGTTGGCCTGGTTGTCCTCGATCGGGTAATAGAGGGTGGCCATGAGGTCGCGGGGTTCCGGAGACGGCGCATAAATGTCGTCTCGAGCGTAGTCGACGAGCTCGAGATAGTTGTACCCGATCCTATAGGGTCCGGTAGTGTTGGGGAAGAGGATTGAACCGGCTGCCACGGCTGCAGCCGCGCTTAGGAGAGACAGAGTGGTGATAGTGTTTTGCCGCATCTTGAGGTTCTATATAGATGGTGAGATGATGTTGATGAGTGTGATGATAAAAAGGTAGTAGGCTCAGTGGAAAACAACTTATTATATATGCATTGTTCGGTCCTCAAATCACGCCGTGTCTGACGTGAAGCACCGCCGGGTTGCTCCATGAGATCGTCATCCAACAGAACGATCTTTGGGTGTAATTTCCTTTTTAGGCGTCAATCACATAGCCACCATAAGTTGTGCGAATGGAAGAATAGATTAATTGTCGATCTCTCGTACATAATGGCCGTTGCACAAAACCAATGGAACAAAATGTTCATTCTGGATACTACGAACGAGTGCCAAGGCTTTGTTCTAGGCCCGCATATAGTACGGCTCGATATCTGACTTGAGAGGTATGTGCCCGGCCGGGCCAGAGTTTCTCCTGGTGCGCGCACGGCGATCTAACACAGTCGACGTCGGGCTTTACGATAATCAGATGGATAGAGAGGGGGCTCTCAGAGTGCCCGGTGATAATTCGCAGTACTCGATGGCATGCATGTGGATGCCTTGGCCGCGTGGCTCTGGCCGGGCTGTCTTCCCGTAGGGCAGAGCGACGAGGGCCTAGACGTCGAGGCGGTGCCGGCCCATTGGGGGCGGGGGGCGCGCGCGAAAGCACCTCCATCACTTCATCTGCACCAGGCGCACGTACGTTCTGTCCGTCATGACCTATGGGCCCGTCCGACCCCCCGGTTTCGAACTCTTCTGGGCAGTGTGAGCTGGTGGGGTCTAGACTAAGACAGTCCGTCTTGAGACGAAGAAGGGTTGCATTAGGAATGACGATCGGTACTCAGCTCTGCTAGAGTCTGTTGCTTCTGTCCATAGCCCCCCAACTGCGGGTCAGTATGTGTGCTGACCGTGGATTGACGGGTTTCGTTATCAGGCCAAGTCCTTAGCTGGCTTGGGACCTTGGTGTTTTGCTGAACTAAGGTTAGGGCTGTGCGGAACGGGACGCAGGACGGGCATGAAGGGGCATTAGGAGTCCCGCTCGTTCAAAAGTTTCCCTATATTTTTACTTTGGTACTAATATTAACACCGTTTACCCATCCTACTACCCCTTATCCAATACATATAATTTTTGGACAAGCTAAGGAAAAAGCCCGCGAGCGTAGTAATAGCAGCGGCGGAGAAGGAAAAGGAAAAGGAAAAGGAAAAAGGCCGGCTAGTTGATGTTATAATCTAGCATTCTATATCCAGTAAAGCACCGAGTACCGTTGTATTTCCTTAGAATCAATACCCTCTCACCCTACGCCGGCAAACTATAACACTACAACTTGCAATAAAAAAAACCTAATGATTAATATACAACCTAGTACCCCGTTGGTTGCGGCGCAGGATAGCAGATCCTAAAAGGGAAAGTGGAGGTAAATCCCACCATCGACGGGTCGGGACGGGCTGCAGTTGTTTCCCGCTTCGGCTGTCGATTGCCGAACGTTTCATTCAGCACGCGCGTGACGTAGTTTAACATGAGCTCTCCTCTCGTTCCAGAAGAGGTTGGGTCATGTTAGTAGTAACATGACAGGGAACCAGAAAAGGATTAGCATAACATATCATTCAGAATTCCTCTTGAATTACTCACCCAATACGGGATGCCGTTTGAGTATTAGGTTATCTAGTGATGTCAAATTTGGGGAGTCGGCGTAATCCGTCCGTGCCAGTCCTCCGAGTCTGTGGATCCCCCGACTGCCTCTCACACCACCCCCAACCTATAGCCACAGCAATGAAGAATTGTACATACAATAGAATAGGGAGTAAGGGATTTTAGAAGCGAATAAGTTGATCTGTTGAAGGTTAAATTAGTAATCTTACATTTTCATTTTTGGCACTGCTTATGAAGTGTGACAAACCAACTCTATTCACACATCATCACAGGTCCAGTCTTTGACATCGTCCTACTCGCCATATTATTACCCCAATGCCATTAAGCTATACTGTAAGACTACGCTCACTGACCAATAGTTCGTGAGAATAAACTCAACCCCAAGCTCCCCCAAAAATGTGGACTACTTTCCATCTCTCGAATGCCTTATCGACATTCGCCACCTCCGATGCCACTTGCCTTTCCACGACGATATCATCAGGCAACACTGATCCGATCGGTAGCGGCCGACCAAGTAGCTATCATGATGCGCAGCGCAAATCCGGTCTGCCGGCGTCCTGAGCGATACCACCAAAATCGCAATCGGCACGGGCTCGGATCTCGTCATAGCCAAGGCGGGAGACATCACATGAAAACCGATAAGTTGGTGGATAGATGACACGAATCCCTTACAGGGTGGAAATACTACCAACTACCTCTAATTATAGAATTTGGTAAGATCTCACAAAGAGTTCACAAAGCGTATAGAAAACACTAGGTCAGACGCTGCTTCTTCTACCTCGCATTAGTCTCAGCACGGCCCCCTACGGCATTACACTATATTCTGATAATTAACACCGGACAACACTAGACTAAGTGTATAAACTAGCGTGATAGTTGCTGGAGTCGTCAAGATTAACGCCTTTTCAAAGCCAACAGAACCAAGTAGGCAGGAAGTAGACCAAGTCTAATTTGTTATGTCGAGTTCAGAACAGCAGATAAGATGAAGCCTTCGATCCTAACGCATATTTAGTATAAGAGGAGTAGAAGGTATAATAGATACGAAGAATATAAAGTGAGAGACTGTATGTAGACTTACAAGTCGAAGGACTAACGAAGTAAGCTTCGATTATACAATGCTTAGGCCGCTTGGTAGATTTGCAATCTTAGATCTTGTTTGCTTCTTACGCGTTCGCAACAAGACCTCTCCTTAATGATCAGCGCCATCCTTACCCTCAGGGTGGAGGAGACACGCAATCGACAGCAACATGTTTCCGAACTTGTTTCATCTCCTCTTTCCTTTACGTAGTAAGTAGGTATTCGACAGAGCCATGCTCATTTGAAATTTCTGGCACCCTTGATCTCTAACCTGTAATGGTGTTATGGAACGCTACAGATTGACCCCCGGAGACCGGGGGTATCGGGCACGGGCCAATGGTCCGTGTATATATATATAATTACTTGCTAGATGATTTCTGACCTAAAATAGGGGTTTTCCCTCCTTTGTGTCAGGATCTCTGTGGTTGGGGGTATGTAATGACTTCTATTGTTGCGCAAGGGTTCTTTCTAATCTAATGAGGCTACGCAATATCTGTCTATATACACACATGCCCTTTGTTCTCGATCAAGGATTGTGGCACTTTGTGCAATAACAATAAGTCAACACTGGCCCTACCAGCGGTTAGAACTGTGACAAATGGCACCGAAGCTTCTCGAAGCGCAGCGTGGATGGATGCACCTAATAACGAATTGCCGGTTTGCCCTTTTCCTACAGTTCTCACGTCTTGTTTGCGCCTGTTCAGAGTGTGTATGGGAGGCAAAAGTCTCTACATAATTTATTTAGATGGATACAGATAGTACTTACTATGTATGTATGTATATGTATGGTATGTTCCATTCTTTGAATTTACAGAGCGGGAAAATGGGGTGTGGGGAAAGAAATAATAAAAGAAAAAGGATCTCAATGGCCAACGAGGGAATCGAACCCCCGCGCCTAACGATATAGAGTATTAATATTAACGCTGTATCGCTATATCGCTATATCGCTTATCGCTAGGCCTTACCAACTCGGCCACTGGTCTTTAAAGCTAAATTATCTTATATAGTGTAGGCACTCGTTCGTTAGGGACGGGTGTATGGGCTGGGATAGAGCTGATTTAGGTTCTAGACAAATGACCGAGAACCCTAATATGCGGCTCGGGAGGGCTTGGTATAGCACTGTGTATCACCAATACTAGCTTCCGGAGGTCTTAACATACAATGTCCTATCTAGTTTTTGAATGGATTGGTAGGGTGCCACAACTCCTAATTGGAAAGTTTTACCAAACCGCCCTACCAATTTCAAAAAGGGAAGGTAAAGCTTGAGAAGTTAATACCAGACACCCCAAACTCCAAAAAAAGTGGGATGCCTTCCTATTGTTCTAGATAAAAGATAAAATACCTAGAAACTAAAATTGAAATGCCTTGCATTTCGATTTTCACCGTATCAAAATGGAAGCACCTGACCTTAGGAATGGTAAAGCTTTCTATTTTAGGGATGTCACGAACCCAGTATACGGCAGGTATAGACTCTTGTTGTTGCACGAGGAATCTCAAGGCTACGTGAGGCTAACCTAGATACATATACAGGAGTCTCTTTGTCTCCATGCCTTGTGACAAGGGACAACTAGCTTGGCACTACAGAGTTTTTAGGTTCTCATTTTGATTTAGCTGTCACTCTGGTACGTGCGGTTCGATTCGCCCCCGACTCGTAGAAGAGCCTGTGCCTGCCTAAACTAAAGAAAAAACAAATAAATTAAAAACTAAATACCCTATATCCTCCTCTCTTCTTGAAATGGGCGGCGGGTGGGTGATAAATGCGAGTCGTACATGATGCTTTTATGCTTCGCTGAAGGTGCCTTGTAGATGGTAGGTTGTGTGGTGGGGTCCGGTAGGCCTGTAGAACCACTTATCGTTGAGAATGCCTATAATACAGTCGAGAACGCCACGAAAGGGATCGTATTCAGGTTACTAAGGTGTGGCATATAGATTTACAGTCACAAGAGCGGCCAGATTAAAGCGTGACGCTCGGAGCCGAATTTTGGAGAAAGAGAACAGCGCCACAATCATACCTGCCTGAGATAATATGGAAAAAGAAAATACATCACCTATTGTCAAAACACAGCCTTCCTCGATACGGTTTCCCGCTTGGATTTTCTACATCTTAGTTGCCTGACGGTGTAGAGAATTAATCGCAAGATCCCGGAAACTAAAACAAACAGCCCCCAAGAACATAATCTCAGGCACGAAACTAACTATACATCACATATGCAAATGAGAACGGCGAGCAGTTACATCTGGAGCCTTTCCTGGCCATCACAACCACAACAAAACGACGCCTGTTAGTGCTTGCAAATGTGCAGATCGCCGTAGCCAATAACATATTTTCCAGTACCTCCCTGCACGGCGCTGTTGACACCATGACACAGTTGAGGAACGCGATGCTCTTGGAGGTGGTGGCGCGGTGGCGCACGTCGCTGCAGAAGTTGAAACATTGCTTCGTCAGCAACAGCCTTATTTCAATCAAGATCTCCATACTATTGTGTTTCCACGGTGAACGCGTCTCAAAGTGCCCTCTACAAAACCCTAGTCATGATGCGGAAAGCCCTTCATATATGTGTACAGATATTGTTATACTATGTCGATCATGGCTATTATCGGCTTTCCATCTTCTTGAATAAGATATTTAGTCCACGACCCCTGTTGGCCTTCCAATTTCCATGTAGCGCCCAAAGCTGCTCATCTATATAAGCTAAATTATTTCCCAACTATAATACATTGAAACTATGTTTTACGGAGGCTGTACCGATTGGGCTTAGCGCATTCGCTGCTTCGCCCAGCTGGTTGATTACAGTAAGTACCTATTGCATCACCGAGTAATTGGCAGCATTGGAGGTATATACCTAGTAAGTGTCACGACGAGTACAATGAGCGTGCCGTTAGTGAATAATACTAGAAACACACGTAAATTATATGGTGAGGAAGTCAAGTATAACTTCCAAACTACGGACTATGTCATTACGGCTATATAGGCAACGGACCTGAAGGGTAGTGCCCTAGTGACGTACGTACGTACGCAAACTACTGACCAAGCTACGCACTAGCTACTAAACCTAACTTCATTGTAAGGGACGTACTCTAACTAATTGCTGATACTGAAGGGTATTACATATAGGCGAATAGAAAGCAACGTCAACATGTTTGCTTGGAGTAATTAGGTGCTAATTATAGATGTACTGCAGAGTATCAAGGTTAAGTTAAGCATCAGAATATCAAGGTTCTTTCATACCTTATTTCAAACTCCGTGTTTATATCTTTAAGGCTGTAGCAAGTCATAAAGCTTCTTGAAATCTTATTCCTAGACTATATTTGTCTATAAATACGACGGTTCCCCTCATGATTCTTCCATCAACACATCTCCATATCAACACATAGCCATATCAACACATAGCCATATCAACACATAGCCATATCAACACATAGCCATATCAACACATAGCCATATCAACACATAGCCATATTTATGCCTAGTACTATACGCCCCGTTATCAGCTCTGAGCTAAGCGACGAAGCAACCACTATCACGATCTTTTCCAACACCATGTCTTTCATACGTCACGTCATGTGCCTCGCGGCGAGCCTACCCATCGCCTTCCTTAAAAAGTCGCCGGTCTTCAAGGCGATTGCTCTTCTATGTGCCATGACTACCTTCCACTCTTTCCCTATGACGTCAAAACCGGCTCAAGTCATTTGCACGCTCAGCTTTGTGCTAAGTACTACGTTATACTACATAAATGGAGGTATTCCCCAAAATCAGGAAGACAACGAAATCTTCCGTGAGTCTCTCTCTCTTTCTCTACCTAAGTTGTTATGCTAGATTCTAATCATCGATAGCTTTACTCTTTATTCTTTCCTTCGGCAGCCGGAAATTGACTCCCGAGGAGAGGATGCAGACTCAACATCCGCAGGACATTTTCCTTCGTTGCGTAGAGAAGAGTCTACTTTCACTAGTAAATTACTTTTATACAATTATCGTCACTGGCAACTCTCTCGCATCGGGGCTTAAGCCAGGAGCATGCTTTTTTGTCTTACTTTGGCCTTGGATAGTTACGCCTTCTAGGGCTCTTTATCAATCGTGGTGGAGACAGAGATACGACGCAAGCGTGTGATGATAGTTGTATGACAAAAAATGGAGATGAAGGAAAGAACGATGTTTTCAATTACATCACTGGACGTCCTGCGACTGCTAGAAGATAGTTGTGAATAGGACATACGAGGAAGGGACTATGAATTGAAGAGAATCGCCCACTATAACATCGGTGAAAGAATCTGTGCCGTCTTGTAATTCTTCTCCCTTTCATAATTGGCTTCTCTCACCTAGGAAGTATCATTATCGTCTATAAACTCTCGACATGTTCTATTACCTTGCCAACCCCCAAGCCCTCGAAGCGGGATTTTGTATGATTCCCCAATGTTCACCTCTTCCCCATTCTCCGCGTATTCCAACGGTTCCGCACGCCCTAACAGGCCTATTGGAAACAGAAAGCAATTACTCATCAGAAATCTACTGTAGGGGGCCTGGCAGCCTACGTGACCAGTCGGCTCTTCAGCGGTAACGCATTTGACCCTACGCATGCGCTGGTATCATTTGTTGTCCCTTATGTTGCGAAAGCAGCACTGAAGGCTTATGCCGACTGGTTCACGGAGGTGACCCAGCAACCCCGCCAAAAACTCGCCTATCTACCTCGGTTCGAGAGGTAGATGATTCTCGGGGCAGGCTTTCTCTGGTAGAGATTGCCTGGTAAATGCCATTGTTGGGCACCCCGAAATCTGGTGAAATTGTGCGGTGATCGTCCTCAGTCCCGTGGGCCCAGGCGACAATTTTCGACAACCCCAGCACCCTCTCCTTGGTCCAGCTGGGACCCCACCTGGCCTATTAATTATGCTTCCCTTACCGGAAGCACTCGGGGAGACGAACATCCTCTCAGTCTACTATAAACAAGCCACGACCCAGTCGTCTCGAATACCTCCGACTTCGTTATTACGAAAGACCAATGACCCCACCTGGCCTATTATGGTCTCTGCGTCGGAAGCACTCAAGTCGAGAAACAATTTGCCGGCGTGGTATGATGAGGCGTTGAGTTGGCCGCCTCGAATAGCCCCGACATTGCCATTACGAAGCATCGAATGTCCCACCTGACCTATTATGGTCCGTTTCTGAGAGAAGCCTTAGATCGATTGCTTCGAATTTCTTTGACGCTTCTGATTACAGAATGAGCCGTGGCAGTAATCGTGCTGTAAGTGCTTAACTATAATAGTATGCGGAGTCCTGCTGACACTGGGAACAAGCAAGATATGGTAGCCCTAACGAGCCATTTCTCCATCACTGTTACATTCTAGGGTTGACTGGCTTTCCTAGCTACTCCTATCCATTTTCTGTGGCATTTGGAGTACACAATGATTCTTGATCCACGGTTGCAAACCTGTTCCTTGAAAGGAAGCTCTGCTGTCTTCTGGTGTTTCCTGTAGTAGACACTACCACTCACTGGACATTACCCTCTGAATTTACATTCGGGTGATCTCTTCCACATTACTACCCGGAAGACATGAGCCCGTGTTGCTTCCTGTCACGGGTATAAGCTGCCCCACATGATCCTGCATATAAATAAGTATGTTATCAGTGCACGTTAATATAGAGAAATTAGAGTATGGGAATATTGTCGCAATTTCTGTTTCGACACTACACCAAATTACCAAATTCAAATAGTTGCCGAAGAATAATATGGAAAAGCCGCACTAATATGCATTACCCTAATAACCCCATGGTCTTTTGACGCAATCTTGAGATGACGTTTTTTCCCAATTCTTCTACTCTTGTTTTCAATTCCATGCCTTAGTCCTCCAGAGCCACACAGTTGCAACAATGCTAATATGCCCACAGATTCATAGTTGCTGTTTGGAGATTTCATTGCAACAAGGACGATATTAGCCTTCAGTATCTCATCCACTGCCCAAAATTAATTCGAGCCCGTCTCCGTAATA